TTTGGCTTCCCAGTCAAATCTAATTATAAAATTTATTATTTATTTAGTTACTTTGAAAAAATTAAATCTCTGTTCTAATATAACTATATTTTTTCTTTCTAGTAATGAGAATCAAAGTAGCTAAGACGCTCTGATCTAAGAGCCTTCTATCTGGGAGATTGACTCCTAAAAGTTGAAATAATGATCTGTTTAAGTAGATCACTGCTATTTAGGATAAAGATGTGGGTTTTGATGACTTTGAACAGAAAATCAGGGACGGAAAATTACATTCTTCTGCCTCTCTTAAAGTTATAGAAAGGCATTATTTTTACAAATAACTTCTCTCTCTTAAAGGATGGAATTCTAAAGAGCTATTTGCATTCAAGTTTGTCTAGAAAATGAACAATTGTCTTTACTTTCTTTTTAAGGATAATCTCTTATTGGCTCTCTTATTAAAATAGCAGAAAAGAGAGAGCTTTCTTTATTGAAACCAAATTACAACATTTTTGACATTTTCTAGATATAATATAAAAAAGACAAAGGACTTTCTTACAGTTATTTCTTTTAAATTGCTGGATATGGAAGAAAAGCTGCCAACCATCCCTTAATGTCCTTTAAAAAAAAAAGATTATAAATAAAGTTCTGGATATCGTCAGTGTCAACAATAATCATACCTGAACTTCACATTTCTTTCAAAACTTAAGAAGTCATAACAGTACTTATAACTCTTGAGAATATAGGCTATCAAGAGTTTATCAATTTCCGTTTCCTTGCAGCTTCTCAGTGGACTAGCTGGGATCCTTTACTATTGTGCCTAAAGTAAGCAGAGGATTTAGTTTGCCACTTTCTCTGATTTTTATCTTCCCATAATATAGGATCAGAATGAGCGAAGCTATCGCATAGTTCGGACAGCTGCCAGGAACACGGATATCAAAGGCCTAAACCCTCTGACTTCCTACGTTTTCCATGTGCGAGCCAGGACAGCAGCTGGCTACGGGGACTTCAGCGAGCCCTTGGAGGTCACAACTAACACAGGTAACAAGGACCACCCAGACTTGCCTAGTGCTGAGGCTCTGTTTATGAGACAGGGTGAATCCATTATGGTGAAACCTAAGGAGCTGTCCATGATTTTTGGCTAGGCAAATATTTTGCTGCATGAACTTGGCTTGAAATAAGATAGCCAATGTCTATGTCCCAGAAAATTTCATGCTATTTAGAGAAGAGCATTTTTCATAATAGTATCTGATCTGTCTTTTCATATGAATGAAAAATGTTGCCTATTTTTTTCCTGTTTTGAGCCTTCTGTAAACCATGAAAAATGGGATTATTAACTGACTAATTGAGGGTTGTATGACTACCCTGTTTAGGGAGGTTTCTTTCTCCCTGAGAAGACTAAAGATGAGACCAAAAATATTTTCTTATCTACTTATTTCTAGGAATCTGCTCAAATCGAGTCACTTTTTTTGTTAAAGCCCCCTTGGACAAATGCATCAAATCTTTCAGCATTGTGAGTTGAATCAGCTGGTCAATTAAGTAAAGAAAAAAAAAAGTTATAGAGGGGCCTATCCATGAACCAGGAGTTTCCATAAGATATCTCAGGTGGCTCCTGTGGCTCAGCGAGTAGCGATGCCAGTGCCATATACTGAGGGTGGTGGGTTCAAACCCTACCCTGGCCAAAATGCAACAACAACAAAAAAGATATCTTTATCTCCTTAGTTAGCAAACCAAAACCGAGCCTACTTAATAGGGAGATAGTGGGACAGAATTTTCACAATGGGTCAACATTTTCAACATCCATTCTACAAAGTAATTTTGTTCACAAATTTTTAAATAAAATAAACACAAGGAGAAAAAGCAGAGGAGAAAGTAGAGTTGAATCTGAAGGGGGCTGACGTCCTTTGGGATTGTGCAGGAAGGCTACGAGGCTGAAATGACTTTTGAGTTGAGCAATAATCGGCCAGGTTTTGGTAGCTGTGGAGGAAGGAGGTACACTCAAAACTACTGTCCTTTCTGAAATTTCCAAGTAGCTTTCTCACCGAGGAATACATTTGATCTTGATCCTATGTTTAATGTTAGCATGGCGACAGGAAGGAACAGAAGGAAAAAACCCAACAAATTATGTTTGCCATAGGATTTAATGAGTCTTCTGTTTGAAGTTCTTCACACAATTATAAAAAGAATGTCTTTGTCTGATTAAGGCTGTCTTAGAAAATGCATGAGTACTGAACAAAGGGCGAAAGAGGCTGTGAGTGTAGAAAGTTGAAAATTATCAACCATTCGGAAGTTCTGCCTCTTAGTGCGTTCCCGGAGGTGACCCTTGTGTAATCATCATCCCCAGTGCCTTCCCGGATCATCGGAGATGGGGCCAACTCCACAGTCCTTCTGGTTTCTGTCTCAGGCAGCGTGGTGCTGGTGGTCATTCTCATAGCAGCATTTGTCATCAGCCGGAGGTAAGCACTTTGTGTCCCCCACTCCCCCACCCCATTTTTTTTTAGGAGTGAGCCTTTTGTCTCCTCTACACAAAGCTAAGACTTTTGATTAGCATCATAAACACGGCCTTTGCATCACAAGCTTCCCCCTTGTTGCTTTGATCTTCCTGGAACACCCTACCAAAGCTGCCAGCTGTACACAGTCCCCACTGCTGAGAGTTCCAGAAAGACCCAGCTGATTCCAGGGAACCAAACTGAACAGCAAGCCTACCAGAGACTTCTAGATCCTCTAAGCTATAAGATGTTACATTATCCTTCTCTTACACCAGGACTTACCGTCAAAGGCAAGAAAAGCTGGATAAAATACTTGGGCCCCAAATTTGAGCCCTACCACTTGCCAGCTATCATTATATAACCTTTTTGAGTCTTTATTTCTCTTTCATAAAATAAGTATATTTGTTATTTGCTGCAAACACTTATTTCAGAAGAATTCTGATAGACAAAATAGATAATATATCACATAGTAGATGCTTCAACCTGATCTAGGGTAATGGTATTGGCAACTAAAGCAAAGAAATAGGTATTATTATACCCACAATCCTCCCTCAGGAAAGGGCATCCACGTTTCCAGAGAATATCCACAATTTTATTGTGGGCATGACATTGCTCTTGGAAATGAATTTGAAGCCATAGACTACTTATCCCCTGTAATCTAACTTGATACTTAAAAAATAATCTGAAAAAGAGAAAGAAATAAGGATAGCTTGGCAGGGTATTCTTCTGAACCAGTTTTCTTATTTTTGTTGCCTCAATTTGCTTTTTTTAATTAACCCATGAATGGATTCAATTTGTTTGTTCACACTACCCAGAGGCTCCAGAGGAGTCATCACCATGTGCCCCATATGCGTTTTATGCGTGAGACTCTGGCTCTTTCCTGCCATTCACCTCCATATTGCAATCACCTTTTCAACAAGGCGGGGCTTTGGGTGAGAAAGGGAAGAAGAGGGGATGTCAAATGATTTCCTTAAAGAGAAAAACTTTCATGATATAGAAGAGGAAAGTGATGGAAAGAACATGGAGCACTTGTCTGAGGTCCTAACACTGGTGGTAGCACTTCTGCTCCTGGCCCCCGCAGTGGCCGTGCTCAGCTCTTTCACACTGTGTGTGTTACATTGCCCCTCTCTGCCTGTCCATGATCTCAACAATTCACAACAGTGCCTTTGGCTATTATTTCCACTGGCCTGGGCAAGTCACTGTGCTCTACTTCACCGTGACACACATTATATCTATCTAGGGTGATGACCATATAACCCAGTTTGCCTAGATGATGGCAGTTATTACATGTATTGCTTAATGTCATGCTCCTGCCCTCACTCTGTAAAAGTGTCCTGGTACATGTAGACCAGTTATGTTCACTCTGGTAACAGCACAGTGGGGACAACTCCATATTCTGTGCAGGCATATATGTTTGTCACTGTGTTCCTTCCTTTAAGGGCAACATTTATAAATAGGTGAGTTTGATTAGAGCAATGAGTTCCATCTTGAGGAAGTTAAATCCATACTAACTCATCCCTGTTGGTATAATACACACATATAAAGACATAGTATAGACTTACAGACATGGTACATAGAGACATTGATGTGACCTCTGTACCCTAAAGAGCGATATATCTTGGCCTTTGGAGACTTCAACTTGACCTAAATAGAATTTAATCTCTCAGTGTTCTTTCCTTCTCTGACATTTCATTTTGGAAGCCAATCAAGATGACCCTCTTTTTTATCCATTACCACTGAAGGTTGTACATGTACACATGCCATGGATATAAATACTCAGGGGCACTGTGCACACTGGCCTATATCCATTGGATAGGGGAGAAAAGGGAACAGGATGAGGGAGAATGTAGAACGTACCTGAGCTCTTAATCTTACATTTCTGTCTCTCCAATCTTTAAGGTGTGTAAAAATAATCTTTGTTGATTATCTTGACAAAAATACAGCACAGTGTGATGCTCTGAACACTTCTGGGCACTTCTTAACCATCACTCTCTCTATTTATTTATTTATTTGGTAGGAGAGTGTTGGGGCATCATAGCTTACATCAACCTCAAACTCTTGGGCTTGAGCAATCTTCTTGCCTCAGCCTTTCAAGTAGCTTGGACTACAGATGCCTGCCACCACACCTGGCTAGTTTTTCTATTTTTAGTAGAGTTGGGGTCTCACTCTTTTTACAGGCTGTTCTCAAACTTCCTAGCTCGAGGGATCCTCCTGCCTCAACCTCCCAGAGTGCTAGGATTACGGTGGGTGCCACCATGCCTGGCCTCAACTGTCTCTTTGATGTTGGTTGGAAACATTCTCTAATTGTATCCATCTTTCATTTAGACTTTTTGGGTTAATTTAAAAAAATTTTTATTTGCCTTAAGTGGCCCTGAATATAGGAGTCAAACCAGAGGAATTAGAAATAAGTCACCTTCTTAGAGTTAGATTTTTTTTAAAGATGTTCTGCTTTTAAAACACTGGCTTTGATAAAGAGAGAAAAAAACACATGAAAATGTAATGTAATGCAAAGAGACAAGTTTGGTACAAGCTATGACTGTTGAAAATCACATCCTCCAGCTCGATGACTTAATTTCCCCTCTGCTCTTATTGATCACTTTATTATATAAGGCAGAATTGATAGCAGGATGCATCGGATTTCCAATTATGAGTCCCCACCTTAGAGAATTGAGCCTGTCGAGTTACCCAGCAATGATTCCTGTCCCTTCTCCCCATTAAAAAAAAATGTCACTTCCCAAGGCTGATAAACAGTGCGTGGTGATTGGTCCTCAATGGATCACTTTTTAGAAAATGAAATGTCAACCCCTTGCCCTTATATTGATTCTTCTTTAGTGTCAGCCATAAAGCTGTCACGGGAAAGGCCGCCTGGAGCCAGGTAGCTGACAGGCTCGCAGTGGCTCATGCACACTCAGCCAATTCTCCTCCCCACGCAGGATGTCTGGCCTGTTATCTGGGACTACAAATGTTTAAACGGGACAAGAACAGGTGAACAGAGAGCAGACAGGTAGTGCAGACAAAAGCTTGGCCAGGCTTTTAGCAGAAATGAAAAATAGTAAATGGTACCCTTGAAGTAAGTAATCTTGCCAGAGGTCAGCCAGCAATATGAGAAAGGAATGGATTCAACAGCCTAACCCACAAAATCCGAATCACGTCCTTTGCTAGTAGGGCTGCTTCTTGCTTCATAGAACCACAGAGTTTTGATGAAAGGATGCAAAAGACAGATCCCAGATGAGGGCCGATTGAACTGAATCCCACACTGCTGGTAGCATGAGAGATTTATAAAGAAGTATTTGGACAGGGACTTACATAGCGAGAAAAGTTTCAGTCCTTTGGATGACCTCAAAGAGAAAATCTGTTTGGTGCTAATTTGTCATTTAAGAAAAAGGCAACAGCCTCAGGCTCACAGTTGGTATCCTGCTAGTTTTTTTTTCTGGCAATTGTTCCATGTATTTCAATTTGTACTGAGAAGTCTGGGCCCACAGAAAACCAGAATAATCTCTAATTTTTTTGTGGGAAGTAGATTCACCATTTTTTTTTTTTTTTTTGGTCTGACTTGAACATCTAAGCATTTAGGGATCTTAGTGAAGGACTCAAATCACTAAATTTGTAAACTTTATTTACATATTTAAAATGAAATATTGTACAAAATATATTGATTCTAGATATATTATATGGTTTTGCCACCTGTATTCTGATAAGAAAATGAATCTGATTTTTATAGGTGTCTTTGATCTTGTTCCTCATCACTCTAACCACTTCCCAGAACACAAAGTCGTACTTGCTATTCAGGTAACACAACTGAAGGTGCAACAATTCTTGTGCCTCTGTGATGCTGTCCCTGGGACTTTCACACCAAACCACACGTGCACATTCTTTTAGCAGCAAGGCACCATTGCTTCATTTCGTAGATTTGTGATCTATGTATTGCTTTCTAAAGTGATGTTTAAAAGGACTGTTGGCAGTGACATCATAAAATGCCATTATAGGGTCATCACCTCCAGGACTAATGATTGAATCTGTGTTAAATTTCTCTGACATCTTCTCCCCTTTTATGTCAGTGATTTCATCAGATTACCCTTCAAAACCACCCTAAACTACTGTTAATTCAGATTGTGTTAAGTTAATGTGTTTCCCCCCAAAAGTATTTTATAGTTCCAATACAAGAAATAATTTTAAGGATGAGAATACAAGAATCCCTATATCTTAAGGAAAATTTGGTGGTCAGGAGGAAGTATTCATTAACTGATAACAGGGCATAAACTGCCTTTCTGCTGTCTTTCTAATGATTACTAGTATTGTTGGGTTTTTATATGTTAGTGTTCCTGAATAAAGAAAAGAAATGAATTATTTTAAGAAAAAAAAAATGAAGCGGCTATGGCAAAAATTACTGTTAGGTACTGGAGGCCTGAAGAGTTTAAACAATGAAACAAAACAAGATCTCACAGCCAGCTGGTTGTCTGATCAGGATAAGAGTTCAACTCTCTTAAATTCAGTACAGGTGTAGATATATTATTTCAATATATTCATAACTGAAAAAATGGACTTATGGGTGGCGCCTGTGGCTCAAAGGAGTAGGGTGCTGGCCCCCTATGCCAGAGGTGGCGGGTTCAAACCCAGCCCTGGCCAAAAACTGCAAAAAAAAAAAAAAAAAAGGACTTACATTGACAGCTGACATTGGTAGTTCCACCAAACCAAAATTTCAAGAGTCTCTGAGTGATGTTGGTAAGATTTGTGATCTGCAAGTTAATGTCCAAGTCTGACGTAAAATATAAAGTCAGAGTTTGCACGTTTCTTTTGCCTTCTTTATTGAAAGTTAAGATTTTTCTACTTTGGAGCTTAGAGTTCACACGTTGCGATAGCAGTTATTGTTCAGCCTGCATCTATCTTCCTTGGTGCCGAATTTTCTTCTCTGGAATATTATGATGACATAAGAATGAGTCCACTTAAATGTTAGCCTAAATTGGTTCTGATGAAGTCGTATAAATTCACACAATCGGGGCAGATGGTACCTCGGAAACATTTCTAAACAACTTGTATGCAACTGCATGGTGCAATTCCAACCACTTCAAAATGTCGCTCATGGAGAACATTTAGACTTCATTTGGTGCGAGAACAATGACAGTTTAAGGAAGGGGAAAAGAAGGATGGCCTCTATGAATCTTTGCAGTGATGCCGTTTCCAAGAGGCTAAGGGTCCTCCTGGAGCCATGCTAGTCATTACATTGCTTCATCTTCTGTAATATGCACTTCAGCTGAATAAATTACTTACCTTTTACTAATTAGCTTCAGAACAGTGAACCACATCAATCAAATCTGTCCACTTAATCAGGGAAGTTAGTATTTTAATAAAAGCAGGGTCTCTGCTGGGCCCCTGCCATGCTCCCCTTATCCCTATTTTATTTGTCTTATTGAACAGTTAAGGTGCCAGCAACAACACAGGGGTGGGAGGGCTCCTGCTGTTCCTCAACAATGCCAGTTAATACCTTTATTACCATGTCCCCTGGACCCCGGGGGAGGGCTTAGCTCACACTCTTTCAAAGTTTCACCTGCAGCCCTGGCCCTTTTCTGTAACTCCTGCAGTTGAAAGGTTCCAAGTTTCCTCGGGAGCATTTGCTAACAGACCACTCCACCTCTTCCCCTTCCTAATCAGCTTGTCGACATCTCCATAATTAGAAAACTTCAACAAAGATTGCCTTCTGCCGTGCAGGTGACCTGCCTCCTATATCATTCAGAGGTGGCACCTCTTCTGGCTGTGTGGCTTCCTCCAGGCGGGCTGGCCCACAGTGAGCGTCAATGGGCTTTCTTTCTTGGGACAAAAAAGGGCCACATTGTCCTACCCTGAGCCAAGAAAAAAGGACCATCAGGTGACAAAGGGAGAGAGGGACACAGGCATTTTTGTTTCAAGGTATTATTAAGAATCAAACGGACCATAATCAACCTTTGAACAGTAATACTTGTGTTTCTTTTTCAGTATTCTCTGAACTCTTGAAGAGTCTTCTCCAAATAACACCCCATGTAAAGACACCTCTTTAAAAATATCCCCGCACCTCTAATTTAATTTCTCCTATGTTTAGAAGTCGGAAGCAGGGATGGGCGTGTCTGTCTTATAATTAATGACCCCTCCACTTTGTATTTGCTCTGGCTTTGCATATATTTGATAAATGCACTTGATGTAAAACAGATAACTGCACTCCTGGACGGCTTCAGGCCATTTGTTTCTGTGGTGTGTTCCAGGTTTTTGGCTAAGTCACTGATATTTTTAAAGTTGGTACCAAAGTGCTCCCGTTCTATACATTTTTTTCCCCTTCTTTAAAAGAAACAAATTCAAATCAGTATTCTAGATCTTAAGTGGTTTAAAAGATACACTTGTAATTTTACATAATGCTTTTAGAAGCTCTGATAAGACACAATCTCTCCAGCTGCCAGGACCCTATCACACCCTTGGGACCAGCAATGGCATCTTCCTGACGTCAAATGTTATTTTAGCAATCCCTGACCTGACACACTTACATTTCATTTAAAAGAGGAGAGAGAAAGGTGGTGGAGAAGAAGAAGATTGCAAAGGACTCTGTGTTTTATAGAAAATTGTTTAGTTTCAGGGTATTTAAACCTGTTTCTTTGATGAAGCGATACAGTTTAAGAGCAGCTGAATTCCATTTAAGCAGATTTACTGATAAAATGTGATCTTACTTACAATTAATGCTCATCAGGTATCTCCACTATGTGAGGCACTGTGAAGTTGGGGGCCAGGTTAAGGCCCAGATAATCCTGCGCTTGCTAAGAGGGCGTGTGCATGGCCCACTTGGCCTTCTGGCTCCACGTCCCCATCTGTACAAGGAAACCCAGCATGTGTCTGTCCCAGCCTGGTTGCTTTCGTGGGGTTATTGTGAAGATGCAATTAAATAATAGACCCCTTGAAGGCCTTTTACAAAATTAAATGCGAAGGAAAACGTAAGCTGTGATTTGGGACCGAAATACACACTTCACAGTTCACGGTATTAACCAAAGTCTCTGTTTTGCTAAGCTGGCTCCTGCTTTGCAAACAGGTAGGGGAGGAGATAATATATGTGATGAGAGCACTTTGAAAAGTTAAATGCAGTGTAAAAGCGCAAGGTATTATTACTTGTGAGGGAATTATCCACACGGAGAAACATCTGTGGGCTTTGAGGGTCTGATTGCCTGGTTCCTACGCTGCTGACAAGT